ATACAGTGTTAGAGCAACTCCAACAGATGGTGTATATTTGTTTTGAATCAACATTTAGACTTTTTTTTGGAAAAACAGGACTCCAACAGATATTGTATCCGGTAATCTAAAATAAGAAGTCATGTATCCCTTATTTCTCTCTAGCTACAAATAGCACACAGGACACAGCAGCCACTAGCTATCCCTCTTCCCTGCATGAATTTCTGTTTGGCGCTTCCCTCCCCCTCATGAATTTCTTTTGGCCCTATCCAGAAATAGCATGTTTTCAAATATACAAGACACAAAATACCTAGACTGTTGTAGACTTTTTTATTTTACACAATGGCTAAAATAAGGAATTTGGCTATTAGTTTTAGACAAACTCTTGGAGTTGCTCTTATGCCAGCATGCATCTACTACTAGCAAGCACGCAGTAGTATTAAGCTGGCACCTTAGCTTGATTTTGCATCCAACGAGCATAGCTGCAGCTAGAGTATTCCAAAAGGCATCTACTAGTATACGCAATGCAAAGAGCAAAGATCTGGAAAAAAGCGGCCATGCCTGGTACTAGTCAATCCTAGATTCTAGATCTCAGTATGGTAACCCCGAGGATTTCACCAGAATACTAAACAATTCATGCGTTCATGGTATACTAGTAGCAAGTATGGAGTACGCACCCAATATAATCCGCTACGTTTGCGGATAGCACGAGCGGCGTGCCTCTACGTGTCGGATCGACCACTGTGCTCGGGCCCTGCGCTTTTGGATGGTCGTCGGCGCCTCGGCGGTGTCGCGTGGAGGAGGGGCCGGTGCTCCCAGCTCCCGTGAGCTGACGCAGGATGCAAGGGCGAGGCGTGGTCGGAGGAGGCAGGCGCAGTGCGCTGCCGTAGAGCCTTGGCGGCGTCGCGCGGAGTAGCAGCCCGTGCTCCCTGCTCGCGTGACCCGGCGCAAGACCATGTTGGCGGAGGGGAGTCGCCGGAGGGCGGCCACGACGGCAAGCTTGCGGATCCGCCGAGATTGGGGACGAGGCCGATGAGGATGGGGATGAGGATGCTTTTTTTCGTGGTGTGTGAAGCTGCTGTGTGAGGCTGGGAGGGGGGAGGGAAGGGATAAGGCTTGCCTTGGTCGACAACGCATGGTGCGCTACGGTACAGCTACTACCAGTACGACACGAATAGCCAACGATAGATAAATTGGGACACTCTACTATCACTACGATGACAGATAAACTAGGACGGAGAGAGTACTCTTCAAGTCAGGGCTATGAAAACTCCATCCGACATGCGACACGATAGGAGAGCTGAGAGCCAGTGAAATCAATCGATGTACTCCCTCCCTCCACGATTAACGCAACTAGCTTACCTTTAACCAAATTTAATAAATAAATACTATTAGCATTTTATTCATAAATAAATTTATTATAAAAATATATTCTATAACTAATCTAATGATACTTATTTTGTATCATGAATGTTAGTATTTTTTATATAAACTTAGTCAAAGTTTATATTGTTTGACTCCTGGAAAAGTGAAACTTGCATTCTTTTGTACGTGGACCAAAGAAGTACTATATCCACTGTCAATGCCAACGATGATATTATTATATTTTGCCTATCCCACCACTTCTGTGCACTCATCCATATCCTAAGGCTGTGTTTAGTTCCCAAAAACTTTCTTAAAAAATGCTACAGTAGTTATCACATCAAATCTTGTGATACGTGTATGGAGCATTAAATATAGACAAAAAAAACTAATTGCACAGTTTGGTTGGAAAATCGTGAGACGAACATTTTGAGCCTAATTAGTCCATGATTGAATACTAATTGCCAAATAAAAACGAAAGTGCTACGGTAACTAAATTCCCAAATTTTACGAACTAAACGCAGTCTAAATTTGGTCTTCGTCACAACACTCCGAAGTGTTATGAGTATGTCTACATCATAAATGAACGTATCTCTTATGTATGTCAACTTCTGTGCAGTCTCATCCATATCTCTATGAAAAATCACATTGAGTTTTAATCTTACGGTGTCGAATTTATTCGTGCAAGTAATGTGGTTTGCCTCCGTTTTAGCTGGGAGTAAAAAGGATTCATTTACAGTTTCATCCGTTGTTCTATTGAGGCTGCGGGATGTGTGTAACTAGCTCGCCAGACGTGTAGTTGTGCTCCACTGACGTGTTAAATACATTTTTATTGAACGTGCAGTAAGCTAGCTGCCATAAAATAACTATTCTATACCTGGACTCAAAGTGGACCAACCGTCACTAATCCGGTCACCAGCCCAAAAGTGTGCACTATATGCGCCTCGTACACTCGGCTGGCTGGCTCGGGTTCGACGTCAACCGGCTCCCATCGATTGAGCCATGGATGGATCCCCTAATTACGTTGCTCTGTTTATACCGCAAAACCAGCCGCCAAGGCCCATTTAGATGATGCGGTTTTCAAAAACTATATCATCACAGAACTCTTATAAGCCAAATAGACCCAAAATCGTGGTTTAGAAAAAAGAGGTTATTAGTGGAGTTTCTAAAACTCAAAAAAAAAACCGTGGTTTTGACAAAACCATGGTTTTAGATACTACGTGATTTATTACATCCAAACACCCAGTAGCTTTTAAAAACCAAAGTATTTTGTAAAACTATAGTATTTCTCTAATACTTCAAAATACTTTTACATCCAAATAGGGCCTAATGTGTGTGTCGCCCCAATCCTCTTATGCTCTGTTTGGCATGGTTTCTTCATCAGCTTCAAAAGTCGTTTGGAGCCGTTTTCTGCCAAACGGGATAAATAAAATGGCTCCACTGGTGAAGTCCGAGGTTTAATTTAGAGAGGGATGAAGCCAAAAATAGCATCACTCAGCGTCACCTTGTCCACGTTGACTCCAGAAGGAGACAGACTTATTTTTACCCTTGTCTAGCGAACGGGTGCGCGCGGCCGTGTAGCCGCCGGGGAGACACGTGGCTGCCCAATGGACGCGGGGGCGGCGTGCGGGCCACCTGGGGAGGGCGCGGCCACCAGCGTGGAGTGCGTGCAGTCAACTGTAGGGAGGGGTGTGGTCGCGGGGGAGGCGCGCGGCCACCAGTAGGGAAGGGCACGGCCGCCTGGGGAAGGGGTGCGGGCACGGGGGGAGAAAGAAGAAATATAGGAAGGGCATGACAGACATTTTAGGATTTTCATATACTATGGGAAGTTTTTTTCTTTTTTGCCAAACGAGTCATCAAATTAGCTAAATCTCCATCCGTGGAGTCATTCGTGGAGCTGAAGGAACGAAAAATAGCTTCATTCCTGAAGTAAGCTTGGGGCCTTAATTCATCTCTGGTCGTGTTCCGTCCTCACCGTCATTTTTAACTGGGTCACCAATCAACCATCTATTGGTAGGCAATCATCCTGGTAGGTATTGGGTCACCAATCATCCTGGTAGGTATTGGGTCACCAATCATCCATCTATCGGTAGGTAGCGTCGTCGCGGCAACTGCCGCGCTATAGTGACCGTACCTAGTGATCTTCGTACCCTGGTACCCCATGGATCCTTTAACCTGCGCATTGCAGATGGGACAGCGGTGAGTAGCCAGGCAAGCCGATGTCCTCCGCCCTTAGATATGAGCCGTAAAGTCTCGGGACGTCGCATCGAATGTCGTATAGAGATATCGTACGAGGGTGTCCAGACGCTGATAAGAAAATAAATTACACAATTAGTTAGTAATCTACTAAACAAATTTATTAAGCCTAATTAATCCATCGTTATCATATGGGTTACTGTAGCACCACATTATCAAATCATGGGCTAATTAGGCTTAAAAGATTCGTCTCGCAAAGTAGTCGTAATCTGTACAATTAGTTATTTTTAGTCTATATTTAATACTCCATGCATGTGTTTTTTAGAGGAACTAAACACGGCCTTAATCAATCTCGTATTTTTGTTTGTCTTAATCGCTGTGAAGTGTTACAGTACATGTCTACGTCATAAATGAGCTCGGGCCTGTTCGGCTGTTATTAGGCTGAAGCTGATTTATTATGAGAGAAAAATACTATAGATTCAAGCTGATAAGTTCAAGCGAACATGCTCGTACTTACGTATGACAACATATAGGATCGGGAAAACTAACCAACGGATTGGTTCCATGAATGTTTTTGTCTTGGCAAATGTTTCTATATGCACCATCAGACTCACTTCTTTTTCCTGAAGTGCACAATTGAACTATAAATCATAGCACACATATCTGTGTTCCTGTTTCCTCTATTTACCGTGGGTGTATATCGTGTTACACCACTTATAAGTTTTAATGTTCCCATCCGAGTTATTATAAGTAAGTGATGTTTTTGAGTTGCCCGTAGTCAACCGCTTGAAACTGACTATTAAGGAGCATATCATATTTACATTGCAATGGAATATACAACTTATATTATCTATTCCAATATATCTTGAAATCGGGCTCTCTGTACAGTGGCTGGATACAAGCAATTCTAACTCCTACTATATATAAGCATAGATCATGAACTGGATAAGTAAACTTTTTAGCACTTTTATCTCTATTTCATCATGTACTACTACTTTGGGTAAATTAGCCAAGATGTCTCTTATGCTCGAGGGAGTGGAGAGATAAATGGATTAGGAAGAGAGTGAAGAACGAAAATCTGGGGAGAAAAAATACTAAGATAATATGTACAAATTAAATAGAGATAGATTTATTTAATGCATCGAATATATATATTTATGAAACAATTTTTTAAGACAAATATTGTTGTGTCACTTTCAAAAACCTCAAACTCAAGTCAATATACATATAAAAGGTAATATGTACTGAAAGTTTAATCTAACTAGTTGATGGTGGACCCATACAAAACACTAGTTCATGGGCTGGTTTCCTTGTATACTAGTATCCCTTTTTCTAGGTGTAGTTTATTCAATCAAATGGCTAGAGTTCCGAAGTACTATAAACGGGAGCCTATTGCCTATATAAGGAGACGTTTTGCACCCATTAGCTTATAACAAACTTGACCAAAACAGAAGCCCTGCGTCATGGCGCTCAGCAAGGAGCAAAGCACAGGCACTGATCAGCAGGCTGTGCTGGATGCTCAGCTCCAGCTTTGGCACCACACCGTCGGCTATGTCAAGTCCATGGCACTCAAGGCCGCCCTAGACCTCAGCATACCGGACGCCATCCACCAGCATGGCGGCTCAGCTACCCTCCCACAGATAGTCACCAAGGTCACACTCCACCCGTCCAAGATACCATGCCTGCGACGCCTCATGCGTGTGCTCACTCTTACCGGCGTCTTCAGCGTCCACGACGGCGGTGATGAGCCTGTTTACGGGCTCACGCCGGCGTCTCATCTTCTGATTGGCTCGGGAATAATGAACTTGACTCCATTTCTGACCTTGATGCTTGGTACTGTTTTTGTGTCTTCCTTCCTCGACCTCGGCGAGTGGTTCCGGCAAGAGATGCCGGGTCCGTCCCCGTTCGAGATGGCGAATGGACGGGATATATGGGATCTGTGCAACCACGACGCAAGATTCGGCAAGCTCTTCGACGACGGGATGGTCGCAGACAGCGGTTTCATCATGGACATCGTGGTCAAGGAGTGCAGCAACGTCTTCCAAGGGATTAGCTCCCTTGTCGACGTCGCCGGCGGGCTCGGTGGCGCTACCCAGACCATCGCAAAGGCGTTCCCGCATGTGGAGTGCAGCGTGCTGGATCTCCCACACGTTATCGCCAGTGCTCCCACTAACACCACCAACGTGAAGTACATCGCCGGCGACATGTTTGAGAGCATTCCGTCGGCAAACGTTGTCTTCCTTAAGGTACGTATACGCCCCCGTAACCCGTATAGCACCTCCATAAAAAAAATTTAGATACATTCTTAGTTAAAGTATTTAAAGTTTGATCAAATATATAGGTAGAATATTAATGTTTATGACATCAAAATAAGCATAATATAAAAATATATCTCATGACAAGTCTAATAATACATATTATTGGGCCCGAACGTACCCTGTCACTGTCGGAATTACATCCGGCAGAGTATAATAGACCTGGCAGCGATAAGTGAAAAAAATTGCTAATGATACTTATTGTTATCGGGCCGGAACCCAACACTACCGAAATTACATCCGACATACTATAATAGACCTGTACAGTGATAATAAGTAAAAAAATAGAAAATACTGAGAGTAATAAGTGATAAAAAAAATAAAAATATGTGTTTACAGGATTCATCCTCAAGACATCACATCAACGTTTATGTTCTATCAAGCATACATACCAGCTAAGCTACGTGGCGCCTGTGACTATTGTTCTATCAAGCATCCATACCAGCTTAGCTACGTGACGCTTGTGACTATACAATTGATGATGTTATTATTTTAACTATAATTTCGAATCTTTATAATGTATATTTGACATTCAAAACGATCTTTAAGGAAAAAGTGGTTAATTGCAAAATTATAGATCTCGTCGAGTACTACAACTTTGATGTTAGCTTTGTCTACATTTGACATTGTTAACCATCTCAAATTCGATTCGAGAACGTATACTGAATATTTGTACATGTAAACCATCTCAAATTAAAAGTTGTCAACTACTAAGTTTGAGTTCTCTTTGAACTTAATGATTTTTATATAAAGTTTATCTTGATTCCACATCATATGAAAAAAATATATGATATTTTTTGCAAAACATTCTATCACTAGCGGTTCATGACCCCTATCACTGTCTATTCTTGGGTTTAACTGACAGTGATAATATACTACCTATCACTACCGGTAAAAGCCATGAACCGACAATAATAGTCCAACAGCGATAGTGTTTTTTAACACACACACAGAGAGAGAGTCCATGTGTAGCAATGGAATCCAATACATATAAGAATCGAACTTTGTATCATCGCTAGAGTGCAGGTCATGATTCCAGGACATATCGGGCACGACCCAATACATATTAGAATCGGACCTTGTATCTATCATCCTAAAAAAAATAGGACCTAAGAAACTCTACACTGTTCGGATAGTTAGGAAGAGGTGGACGAAAAAATAGGATAAAAGTTTGCATCTTTAATATTTGGTATATAGATTAGAAATTGACTGTATTTTAACATATAAGGACCGTTGTTCTCTAGAATTGTATCATTTTCATGATGAAGCGATCGGAGTACTACTTATCATAGGATATACTAAACCTATGGTGTCCATTTTTTAAATAAAAAGGACAATAACATCAGTGTGCCATGTGTCATGGCAATGGGTCATAGTCGTGCTCTCGCTTGAGTATCTTGATGATATTGTGATTCGTGACTTCAATTTATTTGGTTCCAGTGGATTATGCATGACTGGGGCGATGCCGAATGTGTCAAAATATTGAAGAACTGCAAGAAGGCTATAGCATCTCAAGGAGGAGGGAAGGTAATAATATTGGATATGGTGGTTGGAACAGGGTCGTCATCCGACGAGAAGAATGTGGAGACGCAAATATTGTTTGATCTCCTTGTGATGGGTATATATACCAAAGGTGCCGAGCGAGATGAGCTAGAGTGGAAGAAGATTATTTTCGAAGCCGGATTTAGCCATTACAAGATCATACCTGTTCTAGGTGTTCGATCGATAATCGAGGTCTACCCATAGAAATCTATGTAATAACTAAAGTATATGTATGCGTGAATAATCTGCGTGTAACTAGGTATGAAGTGTTTTGCCATGTGCTCGTTTCGTTGTTAAATGTATCAGACATGTATAATGCAATAATGGGAGATGTGGGTCCCAGGTTGCCATGCGCGACTTACAAGTTATAACTAAGTCCTTCCACCTAATGTATAACTGCACGAAAACTCCGCGCGTTGTTACGAGGTTTCTCAGAAGTAAATTTATTATATATAGCATCACTGTCGGGGTTACATAAGGTACCCCAAAGCACTGTTGAAGCCTGAAGGGCGCCGCTCGGAGGAGGCTGGCGCCGGTGCGGAGGAGAGGATTCCTTTGTCGGGGTCTGCTGCGGCCGTGACGTCGAGCGAGGCGACGCCCACTGCGGTCCCACCACCGGGGTCAGGCTTGGCGAGGCGTGTGGCCCGAGTTGCGCTGGGGCGCTCCGACAGGTATGGAATTTCGTCGGTCGAGGCCAACAGTGTTGGTCATCTTCTTGTTGTCCCTTGATCCAGGGTCAGTGTCCAGCGCCGGCCTCGGTGGGCTTCGTGAGGCCGCCGATTCGGCTGGAGTCGTCTGGGGACGGCGGCGCAGCCGCAGTGACAGTGGCCCGGACGCTGCCCCTCGCGAAGCTGCTATCGGCCCGCGCAGAGAGTTCCAGCATGGCGGAAGGCCGCGCCCGCGCCGATCGAGGCGGCGTTGGTGAACGCGGCTGATGCGGGAGGAGGAGGCCGCGGGCGCGGAGCCCGATGTCGATCTTGTGCCCGGGGGCGAGGCCGAGTTGGCGCTCGTCCCCCTCGGAGGGCAGCTCGCGCCGGACAGAGAGGATTGCTTCGTCTGGCCGCACCCTGCGGATGTCCACAAGGATCTGTTTGCCGTGGATGATGCGGCCGAGCGGGCCAGCGCCTCGAGCGGCAATGAGGAAGTCCGAGCGGACTTGTCGAGGCTTCACGGCACGCTTGTCGCAGCTACGGAACTGACCTCGGGCGCCACGCTCACGATGGCCGGTGACGTGCTCCCCCGCGGGCGGGTAAGTAACTCTGTTTTGCTATTCTTTGTTCCGACGTGCTGTCGGTGATGTCAAATGGAGCTGTTTGAGCATGTCCTTGTTGCAGGAGCTGTTGGAGACCTCGATGAGAAAATCGAGGTACTTGCGGCTGGCCTACCATACGCGGGCGGTGATGCCGTGGAACGCCGTCGCCTGGACGAAGCGGAGATGGAGGTACGACGCCTGCGTGTGGAGGCATAGGCCTTCCGGAAGGCGGGAGAAGAGCTGCGCGAGGCCCTACTCTGTGCCTCTTGGGCGGCCGAGTCTACGCAGAAACAGTCGGCGGAGCGAGAGGCGCTGGCCCAATCGCAGGTTGTCACGCTGTCGTCCCAGGTGAACGAGCTCAAGGCGGCGATGGCCGCCCAGGAGGGAGAGCGCGTCGCGGCGGTTGCCAATCGGAATGAGGCCGAGCAGAGCCACCAACGTCTCGAGGTCGAGTGCTAGGATCTCCGTGCTAACTGTGCCAGTAAGTTGTCCCCTTGCTCGGGTCTGGTTTTCAGTTAGTCGCCACGTCGGCTCATGTTGCGTGATCTTTCCAGATCTACGCGTGAGGGCGATCTCGGACCAGGATGAGAAGGTGGCGGCGGGGCGGAGGACGTAAGAGGCCACCGCCGAGTTGTCGGCCCTGGCCGCCTCTGCACGGGTGCTCTGCAACCACGTGCTTGGCGACGGCCAGGGGGTGCCCAAATGGCTGACCGGTTGAACAAGGCCCAGCTCTAGGTGTACCCCCAGATTTCCGAGGGGTGTTCTTTGGAGCGCTCGCAGCCTTCTTGTCGGTTGGCACGCACTACCATGGCATAAGGCTGGACGAAATGCTCGAAGGTCGTTAGCTGCGCTAGGCTCGGCTCGGCTCGTTTTGACAGGGAGCCGAGCCGAGTTAAGATTTTAGCTCGTTAGCTATAACGAGCCAACTCGAGTCAGCTCATGAGCCGCTCATCAACCAAACGAGCCACGCTTCTAGGAAAAAAGCAGCAGGACTTATATTCATTTTATATTACTTCATGTCTTGCACTTTTCAATTGGTTGGTTACTGCTCTAGATCCTATAAATTTGAGATTATTATGACTTTATCATTTTATTTTTAACGGATGTATGGATAATCATGCACGCATTATGTATGGTATGAAGTATGGACCATGGATGTATGATGTAATATTATAGTATATAATTATACTTGTATATATGTTGGCACATAATAATTTTTTGTTCGATTTAAGGTTGTTGGATGTGTTAATTTTGTATTATTACTATTCTTAAGCTTTAGATAAATACAAATATTATGTTTTATATATATTTTATGAGTCTGTCTACTGTACACATGTGTGTTTTAACATAAGCCAACACATGGTTGTTGGTTGTATGTAAAACACACAGATTTCAATATAGGAAAAACCATGTGTTTTTGGACTAGTTAGCACATGGTTGTTAGATGCCTAAGAAACACACGAATTGAAACACTGAAAAAAAACATGTGTTTTAAGAGAATACAACACACAAATTCCATCAGGCAAACAAGGCCCACAACTATTGTTTAGCCCAATAAAGACATGCCAGAGAGGCCCACTAACTAAGAAGACGGAGAGGCCTAGTTCAGCCTAGAGCCCAATAACTAAGAAGACAGAGATGAGATCAGATCTCTTCGTGGGGAAGCCTCTTCGTGGAGATCAGATCTCTTCATAGGGGCAAACAGGGGGAAGCCTCTGCCCTCCATGGAGATCAGATCAGAGCAGGGGAAAGGAGAAAACAACCGGCAGATCAAAGATGAAGATCTCCTCTGCGTGGGGGCAAGCAGACTAGAGGAAAGGGGCAACCAACCAACACATTCAAGAGAAACCACTAACCTCAACAGCCAAGGTAAGCACACCGACTTCCTCGTAAAGATGTAATCCAAGATTGCTAGTATTTGCTGCAACCAAATTCAGGAATCAGAAATATAGATTCGCAAATTAAGGAACTCAGAAACAAAAATACAGAATACCTAAAAACAAATTGCATATTTCCAATACTGCAACTGGTATTTGATGCTAATGTAATTATACTGATTAAACAAGCATTTTTGAAAAAAGGTAAAGTGAAGCTTATATATGTTTTTGTTTTGTTTCTCTAAAGTTATTTAAATTTTCCACTCTTCAAGCTTAATGCATGCAGCACTGTAAACAAGAAATAACTTAGTACATAGACAAAAATGTAGCAGAGGGAATTATGGGAGTGTTCATGTATAACTTTTATTGAAAAAAGAAGAGTGCCACTAACCATTTCCGGTAGTAGGCTTTATGCATCGTAGGATCAAGTTCAAAAGCTTCTGCAAGTTTAGTTAGTAATTCCTTTAGTGCTATACATTTATTGTGTTCAAAAACAAATATGCAAGCCAATGATGGTAGCATGAATAACACTACAAACTATGCTTTCTATTTCTGGATGTTTTAACAGAACATGAATCTAGAAAGAAGAACAAGGCTGCAGGAAATGTCAGAGGCACAATATCAGATTCACAATTATGAGGATATGATTCGCCAAGAAGAAAGCAACAATGATGTAAAATTACTCCTAATTCAAAACAGTTGACACAAACAATAAATAAATGAGAACTAATGGCTTCTTCATTTTTCTTGCAGGATTCAATTGCTTCCCTTATGCAACTAATACAAGCACCAGTCGAGTTTGATCAGCTACTTGAGGTAAGAAACACAATTCAATGATGCAATGAAAAGCTATGTAAGTACTCACCTGCTTGCTTTTTTTATGAAGCAGAATAATATGTATGTCACAACAAGTAGATATGATGATTATCCAACATCAGTGAAGTCACAAGAAGCAATTAAGGAAGTGCAGTCAGCTCCTTACCAAATATTTGCAGGCACAAATTGTTCCAGTGACCTTTCAAATACCTACAGATACAAAAAGGTGAGCAAAATCATTGCTTAGAATCAAAAAATGCCAATATAAGAAGGTTGTTTTTCGACTATAATATATTTCAATGCAGGGAGGCTACACTAAACTTATGATGGAACAGATCAGGAACTCTCAGGAAGATAATTAGACTGACTGGAATACGTAGGTAAAATTTTATAATACCAGTACACAAAAATTACAGTTCAGACATATGTAAATTACACACATATGTGCAATGTAATTTTAGCATAACAGTACTTTAATTTCAATGCTTCATTATAAACTGTGCAGCAACATGAAGAGATGCAAGGATCATTAACAAAGACGATACTTGGAAATGACAGGAATAAGGTAAAACTATATTATATATGCTTGTCAGACTAGTTGTGTTATATTATAAATGGTAACCATTCTCATTATCAAACAAATAAAACAGAATATGAGACTTGAAGATCTAGATGGAATCTTTAGACCACAAACTGACTGGTCAATATCAGAGTCAAGGCTGTCATATGAGGTACATACAGACAACTGAGCCAATTTGATTACATTTATAAGCAATACAAATATGTACTGGCATCAAAGTAAAACTTATCTTTGTAAAAACGGGATGGAGAAATGGTAATCATCGCTGATGATGATGGAGCAACGACAAGCATAGCTGATGATGATAGATCTGAAATTCAACAATACCATTGGCAAACTGATGTATTCAATAACATGGACATTGATGAGGTACATAAAAAATGATCTCTTCAACTATTTCAGTCCACACTGGAAAAAAATATTTGTATTATAAATCGCATTACTCAGAAACTAAGACTGCTGCTAATATATTTACAGGTGCAGCATGAAAATCAAGATGACCAACCAACAATGGGAGAAAATGACTTGAGGATCATAGCAGTAGAACCAACAAGTTCAGATATTACATCAACAGTAACAGATGATAATGAACATGTAAATGGCAGCCAGGAACTGACGGAGGAAGAGATTGAAGAATTCATAAAAAATGAGCAGGTTGCAGCATCTGAAGGCAACAATG